TTCTCAGATATGGTTGAAAAGCTTATAGAGGTATTCATGGATGACTTTTCAGTTTTTGGGTCTTCATTTGATATGTGCTTGGAACACCTGAACTTGGTCTTACAGAGATACAAGGAAACAAACTTGGTAGTGTTGAATTGGGAGAAATGCCACTTCATGGTATAGGAGGGAATTGTATGGAACGTCGAGTATCAGCAAAGGTGATTGAGGTGGATAGAACGAAGATTCAGGTCATTGAAAAGTTACCGCCACCTACAGCAATCAAGGGTGTTTGCAATTTCCTAGGACATGCCGAATTTTATAGACGTTTCATTAAGGACTTCTCAAAAATTATGAAATCGTTATGCAACTTATTGATGAAGGATGTACCGTTTGAGTTCAATGAGAAATACCTGACAGCTTTCAACACTTTGAAGGAAAAACTCACTTCAGCCCCGGTGATTGTGGCATCAGACTGGGAACTACCATTTGAGTGAATGTGTAATGTTAGTGATCATGTCGTGGGTGCCATATTAGGATAGCAGAGAAACAAATTCTTCCATCTGATCTACTACGCAATGAAAATCTTGAACGATGCACAGCTTAATTATGTAACTACAAAGAAGGAGCTCTTGGCTATGGTGTACGCGTTTGATAAATTCAGGTTGTATCTTGTTGGATCAAAGGTCATAGTATACACAGATCACACCGGATTGAAGTATCTGATGACAAAGAAGGATGCCAAATCGAGATTGATCCGCTGGGATTTATTGCTGTAAGAGTTTGATATTGAAATCAGGGATAAAAAGAGCAGTGAGAATGTTGTTGTAGATCATTTGTCTCGATTGGAACGTGGAGAGCTTGAAGAGTCAATAGATATCAACAAAATCTTCTCGAACAAGCAGATATTCAGTCTAGAAAAAGCACAATGGTACGCGGATATTGTGAACTATTTGGCCAAATCCATCCTCCACTAGATTACTCAAGTCACCAGAGGAAGAAATTCTTTGTAGAATTAAAATTTTACTTCTAGGAGAATTCAATTTTCTATAAGCGGGGGGTAGATCAGATCATTAGGTGGTGTATACCTAAAGAAGAAGTGCCTCAAATTCTGGAACATTGCCATTTTTCTATATATGCGGGACACTTTGGAGCTTCAAAGACAGTAGCCAAGACTTTGCAGTCGGGGTTCTACTAGCCTATATTGTTAAGGGATGCCTTCAAATTTGTAAAAAGGTGTAATAGATGTCAACGCACTGAGAACATCTTTAGAAAAAATGAAATGCATTTAAATAGCATTCTGGAGGTAGAATTGTTTGATTTTTGGGGGGATTGATTTAATGGGACCATTTTCCCTGTCTTTCTCCAATCAATACATTCTAGTGATAGTTGACTATGTCTCCAAGTAGATGGAAGCAACTGCGTTACCAACCAACAATGCTAAGGTGGTAATTGAATTTCTGAAAAAGTACATCTTTACTCGCTATGGCCATTGCGGGCTATAATCAGTGATGGGAGAAAACATTTTCGCAACCGCTACTTTGAGCAGTTATTGAGTAAATATGATGTCAAACACCATGTAGCTACCCCATATCATCCTCAAACTAGCAGCAAGTCGAAGTCTCCAATTGGAAGTTGAAGAGGATACTTGAGGTCACAGTAAGCTCTTTGAGGAAAGACTGGTTTAAGAAGTTGGATGACACATTGTGGGCTTATAGAATAGCATTCAAGATACCCATAGGCATGTCTCCATACCGTTAGGATTTTGGAAATGCGTGCCACCTGCCACTTCAGTTAGAGCACCATGCATATTGGACAATGAAAAAGTTGAACATGAATTTGAAGGCAGTCGGTAAAAAGCGTTTGCTATAACTTAACGATTTGGATGAGTTTAGAATGAAAGCATTTGAGAATTCAAAACTCTACAACAAACACACAAAGAAGTGGCACGATTTGTATATTCATGCGAGAGTTTGAAATGGGGCAGAAAGTTTTACTGTACAATTCTAGGCTCAAGCTCTTTCTAGGAAAACTGAGGTCAAGGTGGTCGAGTCCTTACAGTATTACGAAGGTGCTACCATATGGGGCCATTGAGATCAACAATGAAAACAAGGGAACCTTCACAGTCAATAGACAAAGGTTGGAACATTACTGGAGTAAAAAATTTATAAAAAAAAGTCCACTGTCCATCTCAAGACACCAGAATGAAGTAGACATAGGAGAGTTGAGCCATTGACTATAAACTAGCGCTAGATGGGAGGCAACCCATTGTATCCACCTCGTTTATTTATTTCGCTTTTTTGCATTAGTATATGAATTTTTCAATTTTTACTTGGTAGTTGTAGGTCATCGGTCATCCATATAGGTCACATGGAGTCAAACCATGGTCCACACAAGTCCCAATGCATTGAACACGAGTCATGAATGTTGAAATCATGTTTTAGTGGTTGGGTGCGAGTTTCACACATTTTGAGGCACAAGTAGGGATTTCCTCAGTTTTCAAGATCAGTGTGTGATTTCAATCATAAAATCAGTTTTGAAACTAAATTTACCACATACACACACCTCATATGGTTTAAAATGTGTTTTTGAACAATTTGGGGATGGTGTAAGACCGAGCCGAGTCTTAATTTGAAAATAGAGATTCAAAGATTTTTTGGAAAAAGTCAAGTGTGTCTTACAAATTTTTTCACGTGCATATACTTATTATACTCTATTTTATATGTGGGCACAAATATCGAAAATACAAAACGGGTAAGATGTTTGTCTATGCGGTCGCATAGACATACTATCCATGCGACCGCATGGACAGCAACAGAAAAAAATAGGGGCCAACTATTATTCCATGCGATCACATGGATTAATACCATGCGGCTGCATGGAAATACCAGTTACGAGTTTTTAACCGGTAACTTAGTCATTACACTTACATAAGCATACGACATATATCTCCTCCCCGAATTTAAAACTCACGTCCAGAATACATAAACTAGACACCAATATTCACGGCACAATCCATTCAAGACACACAACACAACATAACATCATCTTGCATTCAATTGGCAGTGGACTTCATTCTTCCAAATCTTAGCAAAATTGCAAGGTAAGTCGCCTCAACCCTAAGCTATCAGTTTTGAAAGTCATTTTGTTTCTTCCTTTGGTTGATTGATAGAGTAAGGGAATTGTTGTTGTGAATGTGGGTGTTTTGTGAAGAAGGGGAGGGAGGGGGTTAGATTATTACATATGCATTACCAAAGATAGGAAAATCACATTTTGCACACAAGGTATTTGATAAAAGGCTTGAGTGAGGGATTTTTGTGTAATTTTTTGAACTTTACACTTGAGGTAATTGATATTGGAATTGAATTGTGTGTTGTGCTAAATGCCTACGGAAATTGAGTGGAAAACACTTAACACTGAACACAACTAGGCACCAAATTGACTAAGTCATGTCATCTCATGTCACCCACTTTACCCCACAATTTGACAACTCAAACAAAACCTAATTGACTTGAAATTTGGATATTTGCTAGAGTAGTATGAATACTTTCATATGCCCGAAGATCACTTAGGAAAATTTCAAATTTTCTTGACGATGCCCGGGGTGAAAGTCCTAGGTCAATCATGGGTCTAATTGAACAGAGTGCATGTTTTGAGCTAAGTTTCGTAGATAAATGACATTTTGCAATATTAACCTTATTTTGGGACATGTTTCTTGACTCATGCACACCAACACTGTACACATGTACCTTGATGCAAGTTTGGGAGATTTGTGCCTTACAAATATTCTTTCATGCTTTCTTCTTTATCCATTCACACTATAAGGTCTAATATGCATAATTTGCTCTCTTGTAGGATGCTGCCTAAATGAACATCAAAAGGAAAGAAGAAGGCCGGGTCTACATCAGGTACTGTGCAGATTAGAGATCCCAAATGGCGCTTTAGGAGATTTCTAACTCCAAACATTGTAGCCCAGTATTCAAACGTAATAAGCCATCGAGCGTTGCTTCCAAAGAGGTCCGTTAAGTTGGATGATTTCCCCGAGTTTGAAAGTAGTTACATTGGTCCAAAATTGTGGATATGAGAAAGTAGTAGAATGATAATATCCAGTCTATGAAAGCTCAGCCAAGGAATTCTACGCCAACTTCAATGCTAACGTGGACACCCCAGGCTCAAAACATATGAATCAGACATAGGTATGAGGAAAGTGGATAATGTTTTCTCCTGAAGTTATTTGTGACTACTACTAGCTCTTCTGGAATAACGTGGTCCCAATCCCAGGTGATTTCCATTGGGATGAAATGGCTGAAATCTTACTTGGACGTGAAAATGCATGGCCCCTCCAAACTATTGAATGGCACCAGATTGAACTCACCCCGTCTATACCATTCTATGGCCATTTATGTGCCACAATATTGAGATCACCTCACACAGGATGACCTTTACTGATCTAAATGCTGGGTTCATCTATCATCTGGTTTGGGAAAACAAAATTGATCTTGCTACCTACATTTACAATTAGATACATACAATTGGAACATGGGTTGATAGACGATGTTCACGGACATTCTCGAGCTTAATCAGTGAAATTTGTAGGCTGCAGGTGTCATTATCCCATTCGGGAAAAAACTTGAGAAACCTAGCCCCTTTATCAGGAACACTATGTTGGAGGCTTATAACAGAGTTAGGGAAGGACATTGGGAAAAGATAAAGAACGAACGCCACAAGCAACAACAGGTAGACCTAGAATAGACAACTGAAGATGTAGAGATGCCATAGGCCCCACCACCACTTGTTGATGTGGATACACATTTACTGAGGTAGATATTTGCTACAATAATTGGCTCTAGTTGAGACATTCAGAGCCTTCAGCAAGCATTTGGGGCTTTGAGTACCAACATCCAATTGGTGCGGGAAGACATGCGAATCACACGAAACTTCGCGTCAAATGCCAATAGAGAGTCCCTCGTAGCACAAAGAAAAGTTGACACCATAAATGCAAGGTAGGGCATGTATGTTGGTTAGGTGGATGGTATCCAGTTAAGAGCAAATGAGACATAAGACCGTTTAGGCAGTTTGGAGACTAGGGTTCGAGATATCCATGCTGAGCAAGCCCAACAATCTGAGTTGATGCGATAGATCCTGGCCCAATTACCCCTACCACTAGAAGACGGCACCGTAGGTCCCAACTTTTCACCACCACCTCCATACTGATTAGAGGAATACCAATTACCCCAATTTTATGCCTTCATTTTTCTATTTTCCTTAAAATTATGCTTGTTTAAACTTTTACTTATTTTTACATTGAGGACAATGTCATGTATAAGTTTGGGGGGTGGTATAATTTTGGAATTTTGGCATCCATTTTTTGTTGCATTGATCATATTCATAAATAACTGTATTTAATTACTACATTGCATGCTTGTAGATTATTTATAAAAAAATAAGAATAAAAAATAAGTAAATAAATTTTTTTAAAATGTTTTATTCATTTTACTATGTTTTTGTGTGCTTGTGTGAGTTTGATAGCGTTGCCGGCTATGATGTGAACATTGGAATAAGTATGCATTAGGAATTGTAGATATGGTGCAAAATTTGATTAACTTTTACTTGATGATGTGATACTTGACATTATTTGTGCATGCACTCATATTTCACATGTTAGGTTAGTGATTGGGATCATGAACGAGGTAGGAAAAAATCATAAACCCTCTGGTGCAGTAATCCGTAACTCTTTTTTAGAGTAGTTTGGAGACGGTTGAACAATTTTAGGGAAACATTATGATAGGTTGGGGTTCCACTCATGAAAATCTACTGTGTGGATTGCCTAGACAAATAAATGACGATTAAGTGAAAATCTTAAGTTGAGGGTTGGTTTTGGAAGTTGAATATCTAAAAAAAACAAATAAAGGCACAAAACTAACGTGTGTAAAAATAACACTTCTCTCAAAACCTTTATGACTCGAGCAAGCATGTAAGGGTATTTTGAAACTTGGTGCCCTAAAGCCAACTGATTTGGGAGTAATCGGTCCAAAGCTTGGAAAGCAAGAAAGGGAGAAATTAATAAAAAGTCATCTTATCGAACCTTTATAACTCGAGTGAATAAGCGTGCAGGGGTTGAAACCTGGTGCCCTAAAGTCAACTAGTTTGAGAATCATCGGTCCAAAGCTCGCTATAGGGATCATATAGAAAGCAAGAAGGAAGAAGTTAATAAAAAGTCATCTTATCGAGCTTTTATAACTCGAGTGAGTAAGATTGCAAGGGTTTGAAACCTGGTGCCCTAAAGCCAACTAATTTGGGAGTCATCGACCTAAATCTCGCTACAGGGATTATATAGAAAGCAAATGAGAAGATGACAATAAAAAGGATCAGAAAATAATAGAATTAAAAAAAAACAAAATAACATGAAAAAAGCCCTTGGACATTTGGTTGATGAAACTATACCTTGATGCGAGGCAAGTAACTTAGTTTAGTCTTAAAGGTTGAAACAATCAAAATAGGAAAGCCTCTACTTATTGACATGTGAACTTGTAAGAGTGAAACCTATCCAAGCTAAGAGAGGGAAAGTAATGTAGTTATTTAAATAAATAACTTTAGAACACACTCCAGGATAATTGAGTGAAAAGAATAAGTTTGAGGGGATGTGCATCTCTCAAGCAAGGAAATGATATATTTGACTACCATGGGTCGAGAATAGACCAATCATAAGCTTGATATGTTAACATGAGTTCACACACACACACACACACACACAGAGTTTTGCATCTGACAAGTAAATGTTGATTTTACTCCTGCACTATTGAAACCATTTCTTTTGTTGATTACTGAATTCCAATCTGGAGATACAACAGGTTGTCAAGCCATGTTTTTTGTATAGAGTTAAGTCACTATCTTGTTTGAGGACAAACAATAGTTCACACACTTTTGGGGGTTTGATAAGTGCATTTTTACATACTTACTCGGTCAACAAAACATGACCTATTGTTGATAAAAATGATTGAATATGGTTTAATTGAATGAGATTTTGTGTTGTCGGTTACATTGATTAATATAATGGAATTCTGGAGAATAGACATGAAAAAAGGGCCAAAATGAAAGAAAACGAAAGTTTAGCGACCAACATGTAAATAATCAAAAGATGACCCGAAAGACGAATCAAGAATGTAAATGAGCTAAGCATCAACTTGGTCATAATATGAGATGATAGAAACAAGAAAATGAATAAAAGGACAAAAATGGAAAAGAATGAAAGTTCAGTGACTAAAATGAACCGAAGGTACAAAGGAAGATATGAAAGACACAGGGGCCAACTTGTGGAAGATTTGAAGTATTGGGAAATGAACAATGAGAAAAGAAAACAAAACGTAAGAAGTTAGAGTTTCGAGACCAAAACGTCGTTTATGGGAAGAATTGTCTAACCATGCGGTCGCATGGTTATGGGAAGAATTATCTAACCATGCGGTCGCATGGTGGTATTCAAGGAAGCACCTGGGCAGCCTCATGTGAACCATGCGGTCGTATGGTTAAATTCTGGGGGTGAGAATTCCAATTTTTGTTTTGCGTGCAAACTCTTATGGAAATCTAATCGGGACGCGATATAAAAATCCTAAAGCCGTCTATTGAAGGAAGAACACCTTGGGAGAGAAAAGAACACCTCTTGGGGAAGAGTTTGCATTACAATAACAAAGAGAAACGCAAAGGTTGATGAGATTTCAAGCCAATTCTTATATCGATGATGTCGTTTCTTAAAATTATTGTGTAATTTGTTAAGTTTTTCTATGCTAGCTAGAGAAATTTGTACTAGGAGATCGATGAACCGTGGGATGTAATTTTTTAATTTCTATTTTTGAAATTTGACATCAAAACACGTTTCTTGAATTTTGAATGGTTTATTTACAATAAATTGCTTTCATGATTATGGGCCTGTAATTGTGTGAGTGTGGTGATTCATTTCATGTATTTGAGAGAAGGGAAATGAGTTTGACAGGGTATAAATGTGTATAAATACACACATATGTATGTATACATATGTTTGTATCTATATAAATATATAGTTCTATACATTTATAATATCTATATTTTTAACCTCTCTTCTGAACTTGTCATCATCATGTCTGATATTCTAACCCGTCATAAAGATATAGGCTAGTGGTATACGTGAGTAGATTCAACATTACTTGAGAGAGATTTTTGAATAGATTTAGGAAAATTGATTCTTAAAAAATTCAATGTGTTGTTAATTTGTGGAATTAAGGTTAAAAATGAGCACTGCTCAGGTATTCGTGATCCTAATGCACTTTACGATTAATTACATCAATCTTGCATTCAAAACGTCACTTTGCATTATAGTTCATCAAATTCACATACAATTGCATATTTAATCTAGGTTAGGATTAATCAAGTTATATTTATCTTGCTGAATAATTTGGTTTCGGTTAAGGCTGAGATAAATAAAGTTAAGCTACTCAATCTCCGTGGGATAATATTCGGACTCTATTTTCCACTTTATTACTTATTGCGAACCGTATACTTGTGGATACAAATCAAAAGAATAATTTCGTGAACAACTACTTCCATGTATACACATTTTACTTGACATTTTTGCGGGAATCTAATCCATGTCATGTTCAGTAATGGGATCAAATGAGAAAAAAAATTTAAACTTCGTTCATTGTTCTGTCTAGTTCTGCAGAAACCTTCTAGTTTTTTCATATTAAGACATTGATACTATTTAAGGATAGAAAAACTTGGCGAAAAAAAGCTCGTTCCAATTATCTTGCACGCCAGGCAAGCACCAGTGCACACAATCAGCAGAGCTAATGGGGTTTGCTATCTGTTCTGGGGTTAAAGGCACCCATTGCTTCTTGTAAATCGTCGTATGTGCATCCTTCCTGTAATTCGAGAGATGTGTGATGTTAAGAAACGTAATTGGAATGTTCGTTTCACTAAACATTTCCCCAATTGCCTCCATTATGTTTCTCCGAGTGCTGGATCCCCAATATGTAGGATCTTCTATCATCTTTGTTTCCTTGTAACAGCTACCATTAGGATCACCACCCCATTCTTTGCTCCTGGAAAATGCAAATGAATTAGTCATACATAGTGTGGCGAAACCACCAGTCCCAAGTTACTTCAGTGGACTAGACACATGAGGTGTTCATATATAGTCTACAAATATGATCCAACCTGTCACGGACAGATTTGATGTGAGGCAGTGGGGTCAGCTGCCCCTACACTAACTTAAAAATTTTAAGTTTTGCTCAAAATTTTCAAAAAAAATCTTTATAGCTCGCAATTTTTTTTGTCCAGACAAATAAATTTTTGTGAAAATTACCCCATAATTCTTTTACCCTAGCTGCGTTCCTGGCTTCCTGCAACCCATCACGTTTTTGAGTCCAGTAGAGTAACTTGAGACGGGAAAAAAATTAACTTGTTTTACCCACTTTTCGTGCGAAGGAGACATGCTGCTGAAAAAAACTCGCGTTCTCTTAAGATCCATGTTCTTCTCTATCCATCCCAACATAGCTCTTATTGCCATGCGATAAGCTTCCACCGTCGGCACCATGACTATGTCTTTTATTTTATCGTCAAAAGACCCTTGTCTGCAAATTAAACTCCATTTACGATTATTTCTTCAAGAGGGGTTGGACGTATATATAGAAAGAAGGGAGTGAAAATTATTTACAGTATTTTGAATTTGTTTCCTGCCATCCACCAAAGATAAGTGTTGAATAAAATTATATCTGCTCCTTTCCAGCGTTGTCCATGCTTATCAATCGAGCCATTGCGAACAATTCTATCAGTTACCCTGTGTACAATGGCATTATCTGAATTCGACTCAAGAAGAAAGGGTGCCCAGTAGTACTCTATTGTAGCATTATATTCCTGAATAAATTCAACCAAGATTGATAATTAACTAAAGAAATAAAGATACATGAGAAATAATGGACCTAGAGCATATAAGAAATAAGTGACCTTGGCTATAAAAGTTCTTTTCGAATCTTTCAAAACCATGGATTTGGCATGTTCAGGGATGACTTTGTGAAGAAGGCAGACCAAGGACATAAATTGGCCTCGATTTAGCGAATCACCAACAAACAACATCCTCTTTCCTCGAAGGGTTTCAAGCATTAGTGTTGCATTGAAACTGCAAGAATTTTAAAACGAATATCAGGATTTCTCCATCACAACATAACAAATTTATCAAGATTTCTATTGCAAAAACCAAACCATGTTTAAATTAAATAACCAATGGCAATGGAAATAATTAAGGCGTCTCACACCTATCCCCTCTCCATGTAATTTAGGGTAAAGGAGCCTTCCTTGAAATTGCATTTGGATCATTAAACTTTCAATTTTCTTAATCATGTAATATTTAACTCTTTAAATTTCACCACTCTGTCATGTATCGGCTTTCAAATAGATGGCCATGTACAAATGAATCTTTCATGTAATCGTTGCTTAGCATACTAGCTTACTACTATGCCATGTTATAAATTTGATTAAATCAAAAGACACATGTTGTTACACTCCATTCAATTATAGTCAAAGTCAAATAAGGACTTAAGTTGAACAAATGATTTTATGGGGCTTGATTTGTAATTACTAATATATAAATGGCCAAATATAAAATAAAATAAGAATTTATGGATTCAGTTTCCTAGTGTTAGAATTAAAGGATAAATGCTATATTATACAAAAATTGGGGATTTGCCTTATAATTATATTATATTGATCCACTTATAATAGAGGATAAGGATCTATGTTTTCTTCTCATTTGGGACTAGAAGCAGACAGAGAAGAAAGAAAACGAAATAGAGAAGGAGAAACCGGAAGAAGATGGAAGAAAGGAAGAAGAGAAAAAGTAGAAGGAAGAGTTATGCGCCCATTTTTCAAGTTTAGGCTCTCAATTTCTCCTTATATTCAAGAGCAAAGTGAAAACATTTTAATTAAATTTCTTGGGATTATGGATAAATTGCTTATAGTTGAAATTTAGCAAGAATTAAAGGCTATTGATATGTATTTAATGTATTAGACAATAAGAATAGTATAAATTGGAAGATAGACATTGAAGTGGAAAAATATATGAAATTGGTTTGTAAATTATAACTTCATACCTTAAATTTATTTTGTTTATATGATATAAGCACTCGGTTTATGAGGTGTTAGGGTGTAATAAGGATTCATAGTTTTGATTTGGTATTTTTAGCTCATTTTCTTTAATTATATAATATTATTCAACCCAATGTCCATTGTATTCCAATATATTTTTTGTGCATAAGTTACTTAACATGAAAATAGAAAAATAATTAAAACAAAACCTTGGAATAGAACAGCCATGAGGTTGCCATCTCCAATGCTGATAATCCTTATCCGGCCGGCCATATTTTTGACATGCGAGCTGCTCTGGAATGTACGGACAGTCGTCTTCCTCGTAGAGTGGCCGAGCCTCGTCCCGCACCCACCTCCCACTGAAGATATCACAGCCTCTCTCAGCTTCTCCAATGGCAAAAGGCAACTTTTCTCTCCCCTTCTCTAACAACGAAGAGAAAAAAAATACCATCTAAATTAGTACTAAGTTTCATCGGCAAATTAAACAATAACATGTTGAACATATGGATAACACACACGATCAATATATAAAATATATATGACCATAACTCATAACTCACTGGTAATTGAGTCGGTTTGCCTTGGATTGAGATCAAGTTGGCTAAATATGCTACTCTTATCTTGGCCATAAAGGATGGTAACAAAGAAGATTAAGGAGGCTAAGAAGGTGAAGAGATGACGAGCAGAGCTCCGTTTTCTGACCACAGAGGAAGGAGGAGGAGAAGATGGTGGCTTCATCAGTCTGAAGTTCTTTCTTTGGTCTTCGCTTTTTTCTTTTTTTCTGCAGTTGGTTTGTTAATGCATGTATTGTACCATGTGACTATAATAGTAAAAAATACAGGAATATTGCTACACGCTATAGATAGAAGAAAATTAATAACATTAGCAAAATTTGCCATCTTAGCATAAAAGTAAAAAAATTGAAATACAATTAACGCACAAATTACTAGTATCGGTCATTAAGTTAAGTTTTTTATTCTTGGTTGAAAATTAATGTGTGCGTTTAAGTTTGGAGAATCTTTTGTGTTAAAGACTGTGTTAGGTTTCCTTGAATGTAGATACATCTGAACCATGCAGTTTCAAGTTTTCTTTTGATTTATATGAAATGGAATTCGCTCCACTCTTAGAATATGTAGAATAAGAATTTTTGTGTTTACCTTACTCAATTCAATTTGAAAGTCTCATATACGGTTCTGAGAGGGGGATTTTCATCTATCTCGATAAAGTCTATGATTGGTTCAGTATGGGTCATAATTATGGAAAATGCTATTGGTACTTTCTGGGTTACACGCTGGGCTGGAGGTGTAATTAAAAAAAAAAAAATGAAACAATTGATAAATTGGGCCGGGTCATTAAATTTGAAAATGGCGGAGACAAAGCGGGTCGATAAAAAGCAATTTTACCCGCGAATTCAGCAAAGAGGGAGCCAAAAATTCAGATGGCACTGTGCAAGATCGATCGGCGCTCGAAGACGTTGTTCTTCCAACTTGAAGTAGTTGACGCGCCGGAGGCTGCCTAAAAAAGAGTTCTATTGGATGAAATAGTTCGACTGCGGAAGAAATAGTTCTACCGGTGCGACGAAGACGTAAGAAAGAAGCACATTCAGCTTTATTTCGATTGCGTAAGAAAGAGTTGTACCTGCGCTCCATTGAAGCAGTGGTCGTGACATTTGAAACTAGGCCATGGAAGAAAGAGTTCCTCAATCTTGAAGCTGCCACGCGCTTCCCAAATTTGAGCAGATTCGAGTAGATGACGAACAACGGTATTTTCCTTAATGAAGCTTAAAAATACGGACTAGATAATCAAATTTAAACTTCCCATCTTAAATGACAGTATTTCCCTACCTTTAAGCTTCAAAATATGATTACATGATATAATAAAATTCGATACACACAGATGAAGAAGGAAGATGAAAGCCAAAACCATAATGTTTTACTTCATACATTTTACAATGGTTGTGTGTACATTCATAGGTTAAAGTTCAAGCTATACATTGTAAAATGAAATTTGTAATGGAACTAAACATTGGCTTGATTTTTGTGATTAGCTTGCTTGATTTTTGTGATTGCTTAACTTGATCTTTGTGATTGCTGTGATTGGTGTAATACGATATTTCACTGTGAATCAAAAATCAATTAAATGGTCAATTAATTGTTCACCCTATTCTATCAAACTAAAATAGAATTAGGGGAAAGCTTAAAATTTTCACCCATATGTTGTGGATTTTGTTAAGAATTTGTTGATTATGGAGAAAGAGGGAATGAAATGTGTCATCGATTATGTTACTGCATGCAAGGAAATTGCGAAAGAGGCGGATGATGTCATTCTATTATAGTCCCAAACTGACAACATTTTGGAAAGTGAGAAAGTCGTGGATGATGGAATTGAAGGGGTAGACAGTGTAATTGTGCCTGTTGTGGGTATGAAGTTTAACGATGAAAGTGAAATGTATAATTTTTACAAACGATATGCATATGACGTAGGATTTCTAGTAAGGAAAAGAACTTCACAGAAAGATGATGATGGAATTGTGAGATATGTAGTGTTCACATGTAGCCGTGAAGGGTGAAGAAGTTTCACCCCGAGCGGTGGTTTGAAACCGCAAGCTACCGTTCAGACAGGTTGCAAAGCTAGGATAACTGCATCTGTAGATGCATGCAGAATATGGAAAATTAACACAATCAACCTCAGTCACAATCATATAACAAGTCCCTCGAAGTCTAGGTTGTATCGTTGCAACCAAGAATTGAGTTCCCATATCAAATGACGGCTTGAAGTGAACGATATGGTAGGGATTCTGTTGCACAAAAGTTACAACACCGCAGTTGTAGAAGCAGGGGGATATGAAAATATGACATGCGTGGAAAAAGACTGTCAAAACTATGTTGAGCAAGTGAGGCGGTTAAGACTTGGAGAAGGGGATGCTGTCGCAATACAAGCCTATTTTTTGAACATGCAAGCAAGGTGTTCAAGTTTTTACTTTATGGATCTAGATGAAGAGCTGCGACTGAAGAATATTTTCTGGGTAGACAGTAGAAGTAGGGAAGCATATAAGGAGTTCGGTGATGTGGTAACATTTGATACCACGTACCTAACTAATAAGTACGACATGCCGTTTGCTTCGTTTCATGGAGTTAATCACCACGGACAGTCAGCACTCTTTGGCTGTGGGTTGGTGTCGAATGAGAATACAGAAACATTTGTTTGACTTTTTAAGACTTGGCTTCAGTGTATGAATGACGAAGCTCCTATTGGGATTATTACCGATCAAGATAGGGCTATGCAGAATGCAATTGAGATCGTATTCCCGAAAACAAAACACAGGTGGTGTTTATGGCACATAATGAAGAAGTTGCCTGAGAAGTTTGGATACCACGTGGATAGGGGTGACATATTTTTTGCCATACATGTACTGGTATATGATTCTTAGACTGTTGACCAATTTGATGAAGGTTAGAGAGCAATGGTCGATAGATATTCCTTGCATGATAATAAGTGATTGTCAGGATTGTTTGTGAACAGAGGTTGTTGGGTACCATGCTTTTTAAAAAGCAGATTTTGGGCAGGAATGTCAACAACTCAGCGTAGTAAGAGTATGAATGCCTTTTTCGATGGTTATGTATACTCCAAGACATCGTTGAAACAATTCGTCGAACAATATGAAAGAGCATTACGGAAGAAGGTGGAAAATGAGTTTCAAGCAGATTTTAAATCATACTTGCAAATGGTAACATGTGCAACGAAGTACGAGTTGGAAAAGCAGTTTCAAAGAGTTTATACCATTTCAAAATTCTGAGAATTTCGGGATGAATTCATTGGAAAGGTTTATTGTGAACTACTTTCGTCGTCAAAGGGCTTTCAAGGGAAGACTTATGAGGTATTGGAGGATGTCATATTTGACAATGGAGTGAAAAAATCGAAGTTTTTTGTGAGATTTGAACGACAGCAATGTGAAATTGCTTGCAGTTACCGCTTGTTTGAGTTTCGAGATATAATTTGTAGGCACGCGATCACTGTACTCATACGTAATAATGTCACTGCATTGCCAGACACCTATATATTACGGAGATGGAGAAGAGATGTTATCAGAGCCCACACCAAGGTCCAAGTGAATTATGATGGTTTAAACAGCACCCCTAACCAATTGAGATATGACAAAATGTGTCAATCGTTCTCTTCACTTGCAGACATGGCTCACGGGAGTGACGATCGAACCTTGACGTACTAGAGTGGATAGAATGCAAAAAACAATCATTTACGATGGGAAGGTCAAGTTGCGGAAGTGATGACGGGTCCCAGTGTGTATATCAGACAGCGTTGGATGGTCGAGAATCACATTGCCGTTTACGTATACAGGATCCAAAATGCTCGAAGAGAAAAGGCGCGCCGAAGAAACTTTGAAATAAAAGCCCGTTGGAAGTAGCATCTAGTAAAGCTAAGGTATTACGGTGTATAAGTAACATGATTATTATTTTTTCCGATGGTTGTGTTTATGGTGCGTATGAGTACTTATTATTTGTTGATTATGCAGTCACGTCCGACTTCTGATAAGGGAAGAGGACGGAAGATAGGCCCAAGTAAACAGGGAGAGGTTGCGCTGATTGTACCTACAGATGATCAAGGTAAGATAGGCCCAAGTAAACTGGGAGCGGTTGCGCTAATTGTACCTACAGATGATCAAGGTATGTTTAACACATAAGAAACTTATTTGAAAGTCATAGTTGTTTGTGTACTTCAATTTTTTGTGTGGGGTTCATTTTTATTTTACCTTACATAGTTGTTTGTATACTTCAATTTTTTGTGTGGGGTTCATTTTTATTTTACCTTACATATGTGACATGACATGATGGTTAAAATTATTCTGATTATGAAGGCCTGTCAACTTGTCCAAACGATGGTTCGCAGGTCCTTGGAAGAAGGTTGAGCTTGTGTGGCCTATCACTCACTCTCTTAGGTACATCTAGTTGTTTTTTTCATTTTTATATTGTTGCAACTTTGATACACGTAATACAATTTCTTAAATGCTTTACCATTGCATGGTACAGATTCTTATAGTTGGCTGTAAGAGGAAGACAACTTCATGCAGATTCTGTGTACTGTCAACACCTTGGATTTGGCCTGTTGAGGCATGTGAATAGCTTGATCAAGCAGTTAATGTATTAGGTTTTGTGCCCATAATGTCTCTGTTATGCCCATCTGTAATGACTATGTTTGGTCCGATGTTATGCAGTTAATGTAGTCAGTTTTGATGACTATGTTTGGTCTGATGTTATGCAGTAAATGTAGTCGGTTTTGAGGCTTGTCAATACGTTGGGAATTGTATTGATCTTGTTAAAATTATTCCCAAATAGTTGTAGGAACTTCGGTTCAACAACATAATTAAGATTGAAGCTTAAAGCAACATCATTTTAGTTCACCAGCAGCATATTCAGTTTACCAGTAGCATTTTAGTTTGTTCTGGTGTTTATTTGAGTTCTAATGCTGTCTTCAGTTAACTTCAACAGAGGCACATTCAATTCGCCACTTTGCCCGGGTTGATGTTAACTGAAAATTGGAGACAAATTCTCCATGCATTCACAGCCACTTCACATTCATAGCCACCAAAATTCTCCCTGCATTCACAACCACTTCACATTCACAGCCACCAAAATTAACACCAACAAATGAAGGACTAATAATGAAGTCATATTAACATTAGTGAATGAATTTACAGTGTCTTCCTATATACAAAAGTGAAGAGCACAAATTTAGGACTCCTAATTCCCCGGAGCAGCATTCTGTCCTCAATTTTATAGCCACCCAACTTCACTCCAACTACACATAACATAACACTCTACACATACAAGAACACATACTACACATCACAAGTACCAGGAAGCGAAACTAATGATAACACAACTATTGCTCAAGTTTTCCCTTCCCTTTCTTATCCAGTTCAGCACTTTCGTTGACCTTGCGAATCGTCACAGTCACTTGAATCTCAAACTTTTCGTCTTCGGTAACCAGACAACGAGTTTGGAACATACGAGCAAACTCTTGATCTTCTTCAGCCACTGCTGCAGGATTATTCACGTTCATTTTAACACCACTTGACCCGTTTGTTTCTCCTTTCTCGACCCATTCCCAATATTTACATTTAGCACTACAACAATTGAACAATTTTCCCTTGTTTTACGTCTCCTTCTTGACCTCAAAGCACTTCACAAACCCAATTTTACACCAAGGCAGTGACGTTTTTTCGAGTATTCCGCAAAGAAGTGACCCTTCTCGTGACAACTATGGCATACTCCTGAGTTCCTTCCTGGCATGCTACACACGAGCAAAGACACATTTTCACTACAGTACACAACAACCACAACCCACCGTACAATCTTCGAACGACTTTATCATTCGAAAAATTGTAAAATCAATGAAAATGGAAACCAAATGAATCATGCTTACATTATTTTTGCTACGCGATTCCTCCGGAGGCAATGCTTGGCGTTCAAAATGACGAATTTTAGATGGAGGTGTACGACTTCGACCAAAGTTTTCACTTCCAAGGGTTTCTCTCTGGTTTCGAGAAAGAGTGAAAATGAGATGATTAGGAATCTCCATCGGAGGCGATGGATCGCGTTTCAAAGGAAGAATTACCACCAGCAATCGAAGCTGGCCTCGATATCCATTTTCGCCTCTAGGCTTTCGACAGATTTGGGGAATATAAAATGAGAGGGAGAACCCCATTGAGGGTCATGTAACTGGGCCGGTTGGCCAGTTCAAGTTTTTGACCCATTTCATTTATTTTAAAATTTGAATTCCCGCCCTTGTCACGTCAGCGTGTAACCCTTCGTGTCAACAGGCGTGTACCCATAGCGGGATTCCATAATTATTACGGAGAACCCACATGACATCCCCCTCTAGGATTTTAGTGATATGTTCTATAGTAGCTGGACGATCCTATTTGGAAAAATATAGTAAAAAGAAATATAAATTAAATGGATAAAGTAATAGTGGGTTCCATCGTTTCTATGGTTACTTCTTAAAAAATTGATAAGAATAAAAGAAATCAGTAAAAAAGTATCTCACTGGTTATACAAATTAACCAGCGAGTTTTCTGGGGGTGGGGGGGTGAGGGACTCGATTCATCAGAGACACCACTTTGAAAGAGCTAGAATTCTAACCAAACTTCTATAAATGTAGATACACTCAATACATCGAAACTCATTGTCCATGGATAAAGAAAAATCGGTTCAACATCAAAAACAACAAAAACGAGAGCAAATATATAATAACGGATTTGAAATTGTAACCAAGCGTCGCCAATTAGTTCTATTCCCTATTCATAACTAAAAAGTTTCTCTGGGATTTTTAATATGTGCTTGTGATTGGAATAATTATTTTCTTCTTGTTAGTTTATTTCATTAACCACTCGAGAGTATTAAAGCTAACACCATAAACGTTGTCATAGATGTTAATGTTGGAGTTGTGCAAAGAAAGTCTAATACGATTAGACATGGGAATGGTCATAGGTTTATATGGGCATTGAGACAATTTCTCTTAATAGGTTAATCTTTTGAGATAGAGTCTCAAGTCCAAGCAAGTAGTTGTTGAAGTACTACCTTATTGAAATGTTTAGACTATTAGAGGAATGATACATTATTTATTTAAATTTAAATGTTGTCACACCCGCATTACATGTAACAATTTTTTCATATATGGAGTGGACGAGAAACTTGAATCCAAGCCATTTTCTTACTCTAATATTAAGTTGAATTGCTTCTTTTAGAAGTTAATTTCTTAGAGAGGAGATACTTTTAATTATTAAAATATTGTCTTTAACAACAGGCCCCAACCATGACAATATTCTATGTTGTTGTACATTGTTAGAGAGAGATTGTTAGGGTGTACGAATAAAGTTTTCACATTAACAGGCAGGAGATGATCTAGAGTCTATAAGGGGATTGAATTCACTCTCTCAGTATGTTAACTTATTGGGTTATAGCCATAATGGAAAACCTCATCCTTGGATTGCCCATAATAATCTGTTTCCGTTGTGATTGATATGTGATCATAGAAGTGCAGTAAAATATAGAATTTGGGACTTGAAACAGTAAAATGGTTCAACTATCAAGACCTTAAAAATTCATCTTTTTCAAGTAAGAATTCTAGGATCGAACTTATGTTCAAGATGATATATAAATCTTTAATTGATATCAAGGCTTTAAGGTTGAATACTTTGCAGTATTTCACGTTTAAAGATGCCATTACACGATTAAAATGTATTCTGAATCTTGTATGTTATAGTATGCACCTTATAGGGTATTTAATGATATATATATATATATATATATATATATATATATATATGATGTTAGAACGAGTTGGACAATGCTGTTAGAACGAGTTGGATTAAATATACCAAAATCATATTGATTGGCTTGACCCAAAAATAACTTCGACCATTGGAAGCAGCTTAATTAATTAAAGTTGTTCATGGACCAAATTCATTTATTGGAGGGCTCTTATAATGTTGGATCATTTACTTTAATTGTCTTGCACCAGCGTTACAACATAATCTATATATTCCTTTCTCTTGCTACTATAGCCATGTGTATGTATTTGTAGAGAAACCATGAAAAAGCCGTCTTTGTTTATTCTATCTTCTCTATGCATCAAGTTTAATTAATTGTTTTCTCCATTTTCTTCCTCCTTTATCACTGCAATTAAACATCAGATTTGTGTCCTTCGTCGGTGCAAGGAAATGGGCAATCAAAAAATATAGTTGCGGATTCAAACAATCTTTTGTTGGTGTTTGATCGATTGTATTATTGTAACTAAGCCTGATTTGTGCACAAATCGAAGTACTTCCACGTCAAATGGTATCACAGTTGTTAGATGTGTAATAATAGTGTTTAGTTTGTGCAAAAAGAGGTTGAAAAGAAGAAGAAAGTCGGTGAAAAGTTGTGTCGAAAATTGTTGAAATTTTTTTTCTGATCGTGGCTGTTATTGAATATTTCAGCCAATCCAAGTGCCTGGTGGAGAAACCAAGAATATATACCAACTCTAGATGGTGAGACGCAGCCATCAAAGTGGCACGTAAGGCATGTGGCAATGTCGATATGATGATGTATGAGCACCACGCACAAAAGAGAAGGCCACGAGTGATGATACGTGAAGTAATTTTCAGCAAGACTCTATGAAGACAGTCTGTTCTTAGCAGTTCCATGAAATTTGTGGTGGTGCTCGTTTTCAGTTTTACGCAATATTATAGTTCTGGACGATTTTGCCCTTGAGTGTTTGTGTGTTGAATGTTGTTTCTTTGGCTATTGCAATTGCTGAAAACTTTAGGGTGAAAAGTGGTGGCCCCAAGCAATAAGTTTGTATCTACTTATTTATAGATCTGCAGATTTGGTCCGCTCAATAAATTGGCTTATCATTTTTAAATGTTCATACTAGCATGCCATGTGTGGGTTGACTATTAGGATAGTGGTTACCATGTGGAGTAACCATTGCCTAGAGTTTAGGAATTATTTGCTTTGTTTGAAATGTTAAGTTTAATTGGTAAATGCTGCTTATTGTTTCTTTGACATAATTATTGATTAAGTCACTTTGTGAGACTAGCATTGGATGAGAAATTGATTTTGTTGACATACATTTTTGTTGCATTGATTACTTAGTTAGAACACTTGAAATTTACCTATTTGACCATTCTCTTGATCTGAGATCATAAATATCAAAAATCCTGACAATTTAAAATTGTATATATTGTGACATTGGGACTGCTTTTGTGACCTTATTATGCATTTTGGTTGTTATGTATTTAAAATGACTACACATTTTGATTTGAAAATTTTCAATGGAAAATAAGATTTTTCCATTTGGCAATAGAAAATGAGAGGAATTTTTATTTATCATTTTTTTTTCAAAAGCTATAGATGGAAATTTTAAGCAACATAAGTAGAAAGAAAGGTGAAAGGTGATGCGAATGTTATCATTGGTTCAGGTTATGACTCGAGTGAGGTTTATTGATAATAAACATGATTACTGTTTTTACATATGAGTGAAATCCCATTTTCATGAATGATTGTTTGATTCGAAGCATTCTTTTATGTTACATTTCAACAAGGCTGATATTTATTTTTGCGTAAATTTGAGAGTGATCATATTACTATGTAATATGTTGTATGCATAGTGGTTGGGATTACTATTGTGAAGATTGATACTATGTATGTTTTTATTTTAGTAGATGCATTAGCAGTAAATGTGTCTATTGATAATATGGAGTATAGATGTTTGAGGGTACATTAGTGATATGTACGCGGATTTAGAGAGTGATATTTAGATCACAAAAGGTGATGTAATTAAATGTTTAGAATCCTCTATGCATTAGAATTCCGGTCAGGTGGAGTGGAAGAATAACATTCCTATCACTCCTATTAGGTGGAGACCTATTATCTACCTTGGTGAAGAGAGGTGAGATAGTGATATAGGAACATCACATGAACTTAGGATCTATCGTGGTTTACGAGTTATACATAAAGAGTGACCAATCTAGCGAGCACGGTTGGCGATAAGAAGAGATATGTGTTCTCTAGATACGAGCTACATGGAATGTGCTAGTATAATCGTGGCGAGATCTTTTCTTGGGGTCATTTATTCATTGTTTTGTATATGTTGGCCATTAACTTGGTATTAATATAATATTCTTTGCATGTTGAACATGTTGAAAAGATATGTGTATTATCTAATGTTATATCTTTATCGCATGTTTTGTATATTCTTGACCGATTACCACGAATATCTATTTCTACTTGGGTTCTTGACCTTAGCCCTTGGTAGTACATGAAGTATGTATGGTGTGTATCTCGGGTCTGAGACAAAGGTAAGGCCTATGATTCCAATTTTATTTGGTTACCTTTAGACAAGTATAAACTTCATGTTGTTTCCTTGTAGATTTATTGTGTATCAAGATGGAGATTTGTTGGATTTTGATGATATTAAAATGGGTTGGATTAAATATATTAACACCACATTGATAGGCTCGACTCGAAAACAACTTGGGCCGTTGGTAGCTTAGTTAATTAAAGTTGCCCATGGCCCAAATTCACTTATTGAGGGCTTTTATAATGTTGGCCCATTTACCTTAATTTTCTTAGCCCTAACTTTGTTACAAACCAATCAAATCCCATTTTCATGAATGATTGTTTGATTCGAAGCATTCTTTTATGTTACATTTCAACAAGGCTGATATTTATTTTTGCGTAAATTTGAGAGTGATCATATTACTATGTAATATGTTGTATGCATAGTGGTTGGGATTACTATTGTGAAGATTGATACTATGTATGTTTTTATTTTAGTAGATGCATTAGCAGTAAATGTGTCTATTGATAATATGGAGTATAGATGTTTGAGGGTACATTAGTGATATGTACGCGGATTTAGAGAGTGATATTTAGATCACAAAAGGTGATGTAATTAAATGTTTAGAATCCTCTATGCATTAGAATTCCGGTCAGGTGGAGTGGAAGAATAACATTCCTATCACTCCTATTAGGTGGAGACCTATTATCTACCTTGGTGAAGAGAGGTGAGATAGTGATATAGGAACATCACATGAACTTAGGATCTATCGTGGTTTACGAGTTATACATAAAGAGTGACCAATCTAGCGAGCACGGTTGGCGATAAGAAGAGATATGTGTTCTCTAGATACGAGCTACATGGAATGTGCTAGTATAATCGTGGCGAGATCTTTTC